CTTTCCCTCTAGCTAATCGTGTGTGTTCAGAAGGACAACTGCAGTCCAACAGTAAACTGACTTTTGCTGTTCCTCTATTTAACCTAAGGAGTATTTACCTTTTCATCTGCATTATTCTTTCCTTTTTATTTCTTGAGATGTCTCAACCAACATGGATATTTACTCCTTTTCACAGGCATCCAAAGATAATTTTTTTTTTATTTCGTAGCTGTTGAACGTATTGCTAGCTTTGCAGGTCTTTAGTGAGTGTTATGGATTGTTAATATGATAATAATGTCTTTTGACAGCTTAATACATGATTCTGAATTTTGTTTTCATTTCCACATTCTGTACATACATGAAACAAACAGGCACTTAAAGGCAGTAAGGGAGGCTTCTTCCAAAAAAAACTCAAATAAGCATCTACCAACAAAAAAATCTTAGGAACTCACTAAACTGTTCTGTTTGAGCAGGGTCAGGCAGAAAAGAATAAAAACGTAATGGTTTTGTATTATTCCCTGAGTTTGCTTACATTGATTAGGCAAGAAACCAGGCGTGTCAGACTTGCAAGAAAGGAGTGAGCACAGGTTCACACAGCCCACATATGCTCTAAGAGCAAACCATTATCATCTTCAGTCTGGCAGAAGCACTTGGGAATGCAGCATTCAAATACAAAGTCAGGAACAGAGTCATCACCTTTAGAGAAAGGCAGAGTCATTCACTCTAATAGTTTTAAGACATCTCCATTTAATCTTTAATTTTTTATAATGTCCAAGATTATATTTGTATTTTTCAGGTAAAACTGGTACTACTTCTCTGTTAAAGGGGGTTTCCATTTTAAAATAGTATCTTTGGATTTGGATTTCATAAATACTTAGTATCTTTGAAATATCAGGCATTGTTTACTTTTTGTCTTAAATTAATACACTGTTTGTATAACACTAATTTGCTCATCATTCTGGAGGAACAATCACAAAACAGCACTGAAACAGGTGTGGTGCTCTTAACACCACTGAACTTGCATGGTTTGACTGCAAATTGAACTGATTTTTTCTTCCTGCTCCAACCTTGGAAGCAGAGCCCACTTTAGCATGTTGACAAGAGCAGAAGTGTATCAGGATGTAAGCAGGCTGCATTTGCCATCCACATCGCAATCTGTGTTGAAGAGAGCTAGCATATGGGATTTGCCTTTCAGAACTTCCCATTTCTGAAGGGTTCATCGGGCCACTGGAAAAAAAGAACCAGATGTGATAAAAACTCTGTAATAATTGCTTGGTAATTTTCCAGCTCTGAATCCTACAGTGCAGTTTATTGACACAAGCACCAAGCATCTCTTCCTTCCCTTGTGCTGAACCAGCAGTCTGGCAGTCCTCCCAGTTTTTTACTGTTCTTACTGGAGTGAGGTTTGCTGAGAGTGAGGGAGGGATGGATTAACAGCACTTCTGGAAATGCACAGATTTGGTGATATTCAGGGCTGGTTTATATTCATCTCTCCCCCTTCAACTTCCATACATGTCCTGTACTGTTTGCTGCTGTTTTCTAAGTCTAATTACAGATTAAGTAACTTGCAGTAAGGAACTTGGTCTGCCTGCCTGCCTATTTAAGTGGCTATAGGGTTCAGTGTAACACCTATGTGATATCCCATCCCCCAGAAGAAGAAAAAAAACTCAACATAGAAACAATGCAGAATAGCAATGCAGTACCTTAAAGCTTAAATGGCTGCCAGTTATGTCCTGATCTTTACAGTGACGGGTACGGTGGTATAACAGACATGGTGCAACCCCTACTTTGAAAAACCTAAGATGATGCAGGGCAGCCACCCTTTTATTATTTGACCTGCTTTGTCAAAGACTTTCATCAAAATTCATACTCTCAAAACAGAAACTATGGAATCAGCTAAGGACTTCCGTGATGCTCTGTCCTACTGGGCAGTGAGAGGGAGGGCTCTTCCATGGGTACTGCACCCCTTTTTGTGTAATCACACACTGTTGAACCCAATCCAGTCCTACACACACAGAATGCTGTTTCCTTTCCATTTTCCTGAAAAAGGTGCACAAATTTTTTTCCATCCCTGTTTTTCTTTCATTTTGAGCTGCAGATATATAGCTAGTTCTTACTTTTTTTGGATGTTTATAGTCCATTTGTTTTTGTTCTCTTGTATGCACTGATGAGCTTATGTACAGTGCTTCATTTCCTGTACTGTACAGCAGAGATAAACCAGAAGGGATAAATTAAGTATCAGGAAAGACCTACGCATAAGCTATGAGAGAAGACTTCTCCCAGATGACTCAATTATATGATGATCACTGGTAACTAACAAGGTTTCCCAGACGGCTCAAAGGACACTATCTACAGCCACTCTTAAAATTTTACACCACAACACAGCCCAGAACAGGTTTCTCATAAGAATCTCATTTTCTTCTGCTAAAAAGTTACTTGAAATATAGGCCTATGTAGTAGCCTGTGCAGAAAGCCTACAAACCAAAAGAAAAAAAAAAAGAAGATAGTTGTTTGGCATTACCTTTTGTTTCATCTTGTGCTTCATTTTTGTTTTCAGCTGTTCTCACAGTTGAGGATTCACTTTCATCACAGACCTAAGAAAGGAACAATAAATATGCATGCCTGTAAAAACCAAATGCATGGTTGTAGAAACTCCTTTCACTCTGTGTAGGACTTAAACACATACTCCTGCAATTCAGGTGTATGCAGAAGCACAGCTGGAAGTTTCAGTAGAAAACCCTTTGCCAAAGTCTAAGGGGTTCTGATATCTAGGTAATTAAAAAGAAGTAATTAAGTCCATTCGCCTTATTCCTAAAAGGCTAAGTGGGTAGAAGACTTAATTTTCCAGAGTTGCAAAGAATAAGAAAACATATTTTTTTACCTGAAGCCATAGTTTGCACTGGAAAGGATATGGAAAGGGAACCTGGATGAGACATTATGACTGACTCAGTCCAAATTCCTTCCTCTTGCAAAATCTCACATGGTTGCCTCCCCTACAGAACGATCCCAACCCTTTTGCAGAGCGGCTTGACATTAATGTATGTGCTTACAGCTTAGATTCCCAACAGCAAAACAAGGACACTTAGAAGAGACAACAAAACAGGGGAGGATTTGAACCATCTTCTCCTTTCTATAATGCTGCACTACCCAGTCTCAAGATTTGCCACATTCTGTGAACTGGATGACACCTACTAGAGAAAAAAAATATTTCAGAACATGTAGAAAATCTATACCCAAACAGACATATATATGGGTATACAGCTACCCATTTACATTTTTACACAGGTATTCTTTTTATTATCTTTTTGGCAACTCAAATCAACAATGAGTGTTTAGCATTCTGGATTCTTAATTGTAATTTACTCAAGTACTGTACCACTTCATACTTACTCAGAAAAAAAATTCAAGTTTTAAAGATTTCTCCTACCAACACAAATCTGTATATTTACTTTTTTTTAGAAATCAGGGATCTTGAAAGGTGGAAGAAGATAGCGTGACAGCCCAGAAAATTATTACTGTGTCACAAAGCAGCAGAAGCAGACTGGGAAGCTGTCAAGATACCAAAAGTCTAGCTTCTCTTTGTGAATATGGCAGGAAATTTAGTAGAAACATCAACACAATTGTTGCATTGATGCGAAACATCAACACTATTGTTTTACCTTTCCTCCTGTTTCCCTCCAGGTGAAGGGAGGTTACAGGATTTTTGGAGGCTATTATTAAACTGGAATGACTTCATACAGCTGCTGATGGATTCAGTCCTCTTTTGTTACATAAAAAGCATTCTAATGATGGGAGAGTAACAAAGCACTGAGACAAGTTACCCAGGGAGGCTGTAGAAGCTGCTTCACTACAGGCTTTCTGTGACCATAAGCAATGATTTCTGAATAATTATCTTGCTTTGGAGAAAGGAATGCAGTATAGGTTTGGGGGCCTACACTTGTATTATTTTATTTTAGTCAAGGAGACAGGTTTAGAATGGTTCTTCTTTTTTCCAGTTATTTCTGTATTCAATACATACTCTAACCTTCTATTTTATACATTTTAAATGGCTACAATCATTTGTCTGTTTGCATTACTTCTTACTGATGTCATCAATATCAAAACATGTAGTTTAAGAGACACAGAAGTCTACTGAACACTGTGGCATATGATTTTCAAACATTACAATGTGTAGCTTAAATACAGGAACATGAGTATTTCTTGTGCTTCACTGAAGTAACATACTTGAAAGGGAAATTACACGGCTTTAAGCTATGTGACATTTCGCGTAAATTGCTCTGCTATTAGATCTTGTAATTTTTAGATGTAGTCGATTCCAAACTGAATCCCAGAAAGCTTTTATGAAGTTAATATCCCTTCTACAAGCACATGCAAAGCAGAATGGTGAAAGGGACATTGTGCCTCCAGAACACACATTTGAGCTTTCAAACCTCCCACTACATTTCACCTCTACTGAATTTGAAAGGAGTTCCACCACCACTACCATTGCACTGCACGGCAGCGGCAGCAGCAAGAATGAGGGACGGGGCTGAGGTCACGTAAACCAGTCGTGCACTTCCATCAGGTCGAAGTCTTCTTATGGCTGAAGATCTCATTGCTTTTGGGGGAGCAGACAGGACACATATGCTTCTCCACAGAACAGGAATTCTAATCATGGTCTCCATTTCCCTCCCTCCCCTTTCCTGCGTATAGGAGAGGAACTCTCCCATCCCATACCCCATGAGAGGAAACTGGGACCCTTCAGGACCTGTCAGAGCAACTTCCCACACACAGTTTAATGACCCACACAGGCCCTGGGACTTAGTACAGATCTAAGTCCCAAGCTGACGGGCATAAAGACCTAGCCAAAATAGAGGAGGTTATGTTGATGTGCCTTTTTTTTCCTTTTTTTTTTTTTAAAAAAAAGAAACAAAAGCACCAGTAGGTAAGAGGTACTGCCCCCTACCTGGCAGACCCCTCAGGATGGCTGCAGGGCAGTACCACCCAAAGATATAAGTGGGCTTTTGGTAGCCCTTTGGGTGATTGTTGTCATAAGCTTTCCATCTGCATTAAAATTAATTCAGATTAATATCTTGACCATGGAGTGGCTGTTTTACTCATCACCTTTAAGTAACACAAGGCCAATATACATACTTCTTTCTACATACTAAAATTGCTTATTGCAATGGCAAGTCTGGACCAACGCTATTCCCATAAATTCAGTTTAAAATTCCCTTGGAAATCAGTGAAAAGTTAGACACAAATCTTCTGGAAGTACCCCTTTTGTGTCTGTGCATCCCTCTCCTCTCCCCTCACCCCCACCTGCCCTTTTCTTCTCTCTGCCAGAATCAAACAAAACAATGGACAGGAACTTACTTTTCCCTTTGAGTCATTTTGTAACCTGAAGATGTCTCTGACATCAGGAATCTGGTGCTGTTTGTTTTTTTTCCTCATGGTTTGTGTGACAGTCTCTACTCGCTTTTCTACTGCTGCCTTCTGGGTTCGGGTCAGTGTAGACAGAAACACCACGCTTTCCAGGGAGTCACCAGAGCTCTCGCCAAACAGATTTGACAGACCTGCCTCCTTCAGCCATTCTTCTTCCAGTTCTCCCTCTGAGCAAGGCGAAGAGAAAAAGGCAAAAACGTTGGCTTTCGAGTACTGTTAATCACACTGGATGTTAATGAGATGATATATTTAATGCAGTGCACAGGGAAAGTACTAAGGGGATCTCCAATTAAGAACAATTGCTTACACTATCACAAGTTGGAAAAAAGCTATTGTTTCTAAAGATTCAAAAGGGTTTACATTATGATGTCAAAGCTTTTAAAATAGTTAATGCAATACAGATTGCTACAGGGCAATCTTTATAATAACCTACAGCACTTCTATTAAATCATATACCATCTTATAAATGTACCTAGATATAAATGTGTATGGGGAAGTCTGAAAGGCTCTGATCATTGCTGCTTCACTGATTTTTAGTTCTTTTTAGCTCCCTTACTGACGTGCTTCTGCCCACTTTTTCTGATACATTAATCCTACAGCCCTCCACTAGCTCATTTTAATGAAGGACAAACCAGGTTACAGGAGTCACCTTAATGCTGTTTTTTAATCAGTTCTTATGACATGGTCTCCAGGCTGCTGACAGCCCACAAAACAATTGTTGCTTTAGTCTTATAGCTGATAAGGTATCCTTTATTGACAGATCACTGCACATGAAAGAGGAGGAAGCTATTAAATACTGTCACCGATGGCAAAACTTCTGCTTCTGAAATCAGTATCTCTCTAATGATACTTTCTTTAAAACACTAAGTTCTGTCTGTAGCAGCCGAGCTTGTGCTGAATGCCAACAATCCTCTCAAACATTCAAGCAACATTTCCATTTATCAGATACCTAAAAGTACTCCAAAACTGGACCATCAACTTCACTATTGACTGCAGTTTCCCACAGTGCCCACTGCACATCCAAGTGGGCACCTGAATATTAACAGAATTCAGAAAACAGACACAAAATTTTAAGTATGAATTTTGCTAAGGCTATGTGGCCAAAGCCTGAGTCTCTGACAAAACTCTCTCAGATTTTGTTATTGGGGCTGGAAAGAAGGGCTACACCCGTTCTCCAGAGCAGATGTGAGCAAGGTATATCTCATCTCTTCCCTGTCTTGCCTTTGCATGGCCACGTCTCAAGCAAGCCCCCACCCAGGCAGGCCAATCGGCCAGGTGCAGTGTCCTACACGTTCAGGAGCACTTGTACCCAAGCGAGGTGCTGCACATTAGGCAAGCTGTGGGGCAGAGCAACATCTGTTCGAGCTGATCAGCTCAACTGTGCTGACTCACTTGGGCTTTATGCCTGAGTCAGTGGCATGAGCTGGAGCAGTAACTAGAGGGAAGGTGGCTATATATAAATAAAGAAGGAAATGGTGGGGTTTGGAGTGCAGAGCCTGAAGGCGTAGCTGCATCAGTGAGCTGGGGTAAGAGAAGAGGCCCACACGCTGCAAAACGATGGGCTCTGCTGCTGTGTAGAAAGCCCTGCAGCTGCATCAGATACCCTGCTCCCCAGGCACATGGGCTCGGAGCCTTGCTGCTTTCTCCAGAGAATCACAGAATCACAGAAACACTAGGTTGGAAAGGACCTTCAAGATCATCAAGTCCAACCATTAATCCAGCGCCACCATGTCCCCTAGACCATGTCCTGAAGCGCCACATCCACACGTTTCTTGAACACTTCCAGAGATGCCGACTCCATCACCTCCGTGGGCAGCCTGTTCCAATACCTGACCACCCTCTCAGTGAAGAAATTTTTCCTAATATCCAATCTAAACCTCCCCTGGCGCAACTTGAGGCCATTTCCTATGGTCCTATCACTAGTTACTTGGGAGAAGAGGCCAACACCCTCGTCGCCACAACCCCCTTTCAGGTAGTTGTAGAGAGCGATAAGGTCTCCCCTCAGCCTCCTCTTCTCCAGACTAAACAACCCCAGTTCCCTCAGCCGCTCCACATAAGACTTGTGCTCCAGACCCCTCACCAGCTTCGTTGCCCTTCTCTGGACACGCTCCAGCACCTCAATGTCCTTCTTGTAGTGAGGGGCCCAAAACTGAACACAGGATTCAAGGTGCAGCCTCAAGGGCACACTGCTACCCTCTTCAGAGCACCTGTAAATAGTGGCTATGTTTCCAAAGGCCTAGGGAGGCAGAAGTGCAAATCCCTTTGAAAGCTAATAGAGGACATTCTTCTCACTCATGTAGAAGCCATACCAAAATGCAAAACTCACCATTTTAATTTACTGAGACTGTCAGCCTGTTGTAAAAATGGGAGAGAGGCAGACACTGCACTGTTAAAAAACAGTTTTTGAGAAGAGTGGAATTAAGGTTGTTACTCCTCTTTTGCCTGATAGGACAAGAAAAATAAAAAAATTGCCCAACTTTTGAGATCATGCCCTCAGGAGCAGCACATAATTGATGCTTCTGAGAAACAAAAATAATACAACTGAATAGTCACAATAGTTACAAGCGTCAAAAGTTACTCACTAAACTTAAACTGGTTAATCATTTGCTTGCCTTCTAAAGTATGAGGTTTCTATCCACAATAGCTACAATAATGAAGAGCATACACAAAGAGTGAAAGGGTAAGCTAGTTTAACAGTAAACTGCAAATAAAGCTTCAATTATTGTGATTTGCAAGTACAGGCACCTTTCTGATGTCCTGCAAACACCATTTAAAGGAAAACCAGCCTTTTATTTATCTCCGATACAATTCTCTTTCAGGGCGCTGCCTGTTTCTGGCAATATGCATCAGGGGCAACAGAATTTTCAAAGCGGGTATTCATCAGAGTGACCTCCTTTTTGATTTAAGTGTGTTTGGTGGGTGCCATTTCTTGAAATAAGACTTAAAGAAAAATCCCTAAATCAGCATACTGATGATCATTTGCAAGAATGGATTTCATTACCATCTGGCTCTTTCACTACAAGCGCTACTCGTTCCTCATGGTTATTTCCTCTAGTTGCATGGATGTTTTCAAGTTCTTTCCAGTAGTCATCCATAGACAGTTCATCCAAGGAGTCCTGGGATCCTGACCGATCAAACGATGCTCCATCGGGGGTCTTCTTGGAATGGTCATGGTTCATTGTATACTGGCCAGACCGACGGCTATGAACATAAACCAAAAAGCAACTATCAGTTAGCATTTTAACATACAGGATATATTAATATATATCCTGTATATATATTAATATATATCCTGAAGGCAGTTAGTGATGAATTGTGTCAAAGTATTAAAGCAAACAACTGTCAACAAGCAAACCAAGATATTAAAAATTACTTTTAATATCTGGAATATATTTTTAATTTAACATTTCTGCTATATGTATCTCCCAACCTGGAATGGCACAAAGGAGTCTGTATTAAAGAGGAATCCAAGTTCCAGTAATCCTAGTTACACCAAACCTCTAATTCAGCTCACAACAGTCAGTTCCACAAACTTCATGGTACATATCTTTATTACCATTACCATTCACAAAGAATTTTTCAAAAGTGCCCTTCTGTCTGAATAAATTCTTATAGCTTGACAGTACCCTTACTTTTTTCCTTCGCTATTCTGCTTTTATTTTATATTAATGTTTAGTCTGGTATCTACGACCTTAATTGCACCTGGGAAAGGACAAATTAGAATTACTGAAATTACAGTTTCTGAAGTAAACAGGTGAATCCACATCTTTAATAAAGGCCACTATTTGTTTCTGTGTTGCTTCCTCTTTGACCAAAAGCTTACCATTTTTATAGTTTGATGTTACTACTTTTGATTCACCCTGCCAGATGTATGTTGCTAAGTCTTCCAAAAGCGATCTTACATCTTAAGTATAGCTGCCACTAGAAAAAAAGAAATCAACAAGCTGAAACCTCTAGGTCTCATCTTGACCTCATTAACTCACTGGCAAATATTACCACTGACCTAGCAAAGAATTCCTCTTAAAAAGTTCAAATGTTGTAACGATGTCATTGAAGTTACAGGTTATCCTTACAGTCAAACGTACCAAATCAAAAGCCACAAACTGATTCAGAGTATCAGTGGATTACACGAGGAGCAACCTGATCTAACTTCAGAGTTGGCCCTACTTGGAGTGGGGGGCAGATCGGACAAAGATAATCTCCGGTGTTTTTTTCTAAACTAAATTACTCTACTATGATGGCAGTATATCAAAATTCTTCCTTGTATTAAAAAATAGTAAGTTCTTAACATATCAGGAACAGCTTCAGATGTCTTTTATGTCTGAATTGGTCTCCATATTCTAAAAAAGAAGGCACGGTTTGGGGTTAAATAATGAGTATCACTTATTCCGAGAGAAAAACGTATCAAAGATCAAGTATTGTGGATTTATCACAATGTAAATGCAGTAAATTAAGTCCTACTTTCCCATTTGGCTGACTTTGTAAGTTTATCAAGAATTAAAACAAAAGCACCTCGTCCTTACATTTTATCTCGGGACAACTGACGCTTGTTAGCTGCCCCTAAGTAAAAAAAGCCATACCTTTCTCTCTGAAGATAAGTCCCTTGTGCGTCCAAGTCACAAATCCTTTCACACCATATGTGCTTGATTCTCTGATAAGAAATACTAACTATATGGACTTTGCCTTTAAAGGTAAAGAGCCTTATGGAAGGACTACGAGTTTCCACCTGCCCTGCCTCTTTTCTCCAGGTACAAGTTAATAAATGACAATGAATTACCAAGCTAATATGCACCCCAACACCATCCCTTAACCTGCCCGTAGTTGAAAGCCCAGGAAGAAAAAAAACACAGAGAGGAGCATTGTGCATCAATGACAATACCAGCGTCCTGCTAGTAGTGCATGTTACCCAATAAACACAATTTCTGCATGTAGCTACCTCCGTTCTTAAACTTCTCTTGACAGGTGTGTCCCGTGCGTGCCCTGTGCTGCTTGTCAATCCAACACTAAGCACTGCCGAAAGACGTTCATGGAGCCGTATCGGAAGCGTCCCCAGCAGTCAACGCAGGTGCAGAGCGTGGCTGAAGCAGGTCGGGCTTCCCAGCCTTTGCCCAGGCTTCCCTCCTGCGGTGGCCGAGGGTGCTCAGAGCGGACTGGGTCCCTCTCACAAACAAGCTCTGTACACTTGAACTGCGCCTGAGCGAGGTCAGATTGCAGCTTATCGTCCCTCGCTTTAACCCCGCGGAGCTGCTCGGCAGCTCTTCGGTGCCCTTTCACCTTTGGAACAACCTGCTCTCACTGATCCACCTCAGCTGAAATTTAACCACCACAGCACACCAGGCAACAGATAAAGCTAACAGCTCGAATAGGTCAAAAGCATGCACTTTGGGGGGCTCTGGCTGCTGAGGGGGGATACTCTGCAGCAAGGCCGCGGCTCTGCGCCATGCTTCTAGGGCACTGCTACTCCTGTCCTTCCAAAAAAGCCAGCTCCTTACCTTCCATAACCAAGTCCTCTCTCAGAGAAGTCTGCGTCCCGAAACGCACAGCTGATACACAGCACAGAGCACTCCAGGCCATTTTCAGGGTCCCGTGAGCACTCGCTGTACACTACAAACACCCCATTAACTCTCAGAGACTGCGCCCTACCCTTCAATCACGGCTCACAGGCCCGCTCTACTCGACCAAATACCAGTGGCTTTTCCTGTAAGGCTCTTCCCAGCCCGACATTTCTCTCTCTCACTAACGAACCAAGACAGCAACGCCCAACTTTGAGTGGGGCAGTGACGGCACTTCTCGTCGTGAAAGCCCTCAGAGAGAGACGCACACGAAGGACCAGGGGAACCTTGCAAGAAATATGCACCCAAAACCCTCACCGCGCCGCTGCGAATCTCCCTCTCAAACGGCACACTGCTTTAGGCCCATTGGCAGCTGGCAGCCCCAGCGCCGGCAGCGCTCCGGCTCTTCGGCAGCCAAGGCCACTGCCACACCACTCCACTCACCGGTTCCTTGTCTTCTCTTGCCTGACTCGATCAACCCCCTACCCCCGGTTTCTCTGTGGGCTGCAAACCCTTTCAAAGCCGTCTGCATTTGTCCACATCCACAATGAACATTTCTACAGGATGGGACAGAGAGAGGCTCAGGCTGGGAGAGAGAACAAGTGCGAAAACTTCAGCTGACAGAGCAAGTCAGACCGTATTTTCACTTCACTTGGTTCAACGTTTCTTGCTTTGCATGTCCCACCAGAGAAAGATGCCGGTGAAGCGGCATTTGGTGCGTAATCCGCACAGCAGTGGCTCCAGGCATCCTCGTCTCTGCCTCTCCCTGTGCACAAAGAGCCATGAATGAGAAAGACCCTTTGAGGATGAGCACAGTCTTGATATCATAAGGTTGGTGTAGGTGAGAAAAGAAAAGTAATTTTTAAAATGCACAGTCTAGGTAAAAATAGAATGCTACTTTTAGGTATCTATTGACAAGACCAAAAACACAGAATTTCTGCTGTGACCTTACACTGAATTAAATCCTTTTCCAAACACGTGCTTAGTAAACATTAGTTGCACATCACACAATAAAAATGTTTAGGTGGGAACAGGTCAAGAAAAAAAGAGAGGAGAAGGGGAAAAGCAATCAATCGTAGCGATAATATTATAAGGAATCTGGAAGAGAAACATGCATTTAAAAAAAATTAACCCCACATTCACAGAAAGACTCATTAAAAAAATCAATCTTAAAAAAGTATTTCACATACATGTTGCAAGCTTTAAAATTTTGTAGAAGGCTGCTTTCCAAAACACTATCGAAAGGAAATAAACACAGTTCATTACAAAAAAAGCTATTATTGTGGTCGCAGAAAATAGGCTACTTCTCCAGCACATTCTTAAGTTTTTAGGTGTTCTTTTTTTCTATTTAAAATTCGAGGAATGCAGCTGATTTTCACAAGTGTCTTCAAGGAGATCTCTCTTCTTCTCCCAGAAAATGTAAGCTATAAGCTACTGCTAACACACACAGTCACTTAAAGTAACTTTCAAACACTACTCATTTAGCATTTCAGATTACTAAATGGTAAGTTTACTCTCCAGCATTTTTTTTTCCCCCAGAAAACTTGTATTTCCATTAAGGTCTTTGCTAACAACACTCTCCAAGTCTATTAAAATCTTATTAACGTCTACTTCCAATCATTAGTAAATAGCTTACTCTTCAAATATCTTTAAAGGGAGCAGTGCAATACTCTCATTTCCAAATTGCAGAGTCTGTTCTGACCTCTGATACTCAGACATGTGCCCTTTGCAGCCAATGAGATCTTTGCCTGTTTATCTCAGCACAAAACTGAGCCCCCAGGGATAAACTCCATTCTTCAATATAGTTACTGCAGTCTCTTACCAGAGTTAATCTTCTTGTCCCACCCACCAGAGATGCATTTATTTATTAGAAACATCAAAGGATGCAAGACGATGCACTCCAGCTCTTCCAGAGGGGAGCTATTAAAAACAATTGTTGTAATGAACACCATTTGTTGCATTTACAAGGAAAGAAACCAGATTTGGGTTATTTCACCAAGCACTGACGAGCTTCACATTTTGCTAAGTACCTAAGGGACAAGAACTGTGTGCAAATATTTTCTTCAGCCTTTCCTTCTGTGACCAATTGTGTCCTTTCTCAGCTTGTAAGAAAATACGGCTCTTCACATGAATCACTGTTTAACACTCTAATAAAAATGTGCTTTTTTCAGGTTCTGTCAGCTTGATTTTGATTTCATCAATAACCATTTTATACTAGTGCAGTTGTCTCTATTCCTTATTTTCTTCCCTGTGAAATCTAAATCTCCCTTTCTGCTCTAGTGCCTTTTTAGCAGTTCAGAACTGATACGTGTCACATGTAAACCACAGCAGCTAGAGGTTAATCAGTTAGTAAGGTGCACTTTCACTGGCATTTCAGATGATGAACTCAGTTCTTTCTCTCGAAAGCTACTTTTGCCGTTACTTCTGTTTTTCTCTGTTAAGAATTAAGGAGTATGTTGTGTTTTAAAACGGCGAGTGATGATAAAAAGATATCTTTGCCATTTTTATAGTGCTAGCCACCAATTTGGAATCTGAATATGATCCTTCTACATCACTATAGAAACATCATAGCTGTATGGTATCCTTATATACTATATATATGGGTATGCATGTATTAGATGTGTATTCAGTATGTTATATTAAATATACTGAAAGGTAGAAATACCAAATGCAGGATGTTCATGGTC